TTTGTGGGGTTCGAATGTAAGGCGTTTTTCGGGAGACTCGAAGACGACTGTGTCGGCTGTCGACGATCCATCCAAACCCTCCACCAAAAAAAAGGGGGATGTAAGGCGTTTGGTGGCGACCAAAAGCATGAGGAGCGGGATGCAGAGGATGAGAGGCGGGCCGGTAAGGATGGCTGTTGCGATCCCGGTGTGGGTGAAGACTCGGATGGCAAGTTCGATGGTCTCCTGCGCGAGGACAGAAGCTGTTGCCCTAGGATGCAAAAGCAATGCACCGGCGGGAAACGCGATCACCAAAAGGAGGATATGCATTCCTACTACTTGAAGTAGTACAAGGGACAGACGACTGTCCCCGCGATTCGCCGAGACGGGGATTTGGTTGTCAGGAGGTTGGAAGGATGTCACTGGGGGAGGCAAGTCGGTGTCGCCTTCAAGTTCCTCCTCATCAGGCTTCAACGAATGCCCGACGTCTGGCCCGCCGAGTATATATGTCAGGGGCTGATATACCAGCCAAAAAAGACCGAGCAGAAGTCCAGAGGCCACGGCGACATACAGAACGACTAAGACCGCAAAATCGATAACAGAGGTCAAAACATCGAAGAGGACGACGAAGAACTTGAACCTCCTCAGGTTGTTTAGATCCCTGCGAAGCAGCAGCAGCACAAAAACTGCAGTTAAAAATGAGAGTTTGTTGGGCAGAAGGCTTCGGAGGAGCCCAGCCATGACGGCGAGAGAAGATCTAGTATGTATGGCATGAATGTCAAAAAGATGAGATGTCGATGATTTGCTTCCGTCCTTGGCTTCCGTCCTTGGCACAGCAACCGTCGACTACTGCACAAAGGCTACATCGTCTTTTTCTCTACTCTGGCTGAGTTCGCTCGGAGTGCTCACAGTATTTGTATTGCAATCAACATCACAGGAGGGCATCCTTCGGTGAGGTGGGACCGTGAGTGTTGTCCCTCGCCGCCCAGGCTCCCCTTTGCGCACACCCACCCGCGTCTATGTCGCGTCTGGACCGCTGGGCTTTCGGCCCTTGGTGTATGTAGCGCAGACGCGGCGTGCGCATACCCTTCGGTCTCTCCACAAGACATCTCTCCTTTAGTCTCGTAGCCTAACCACTACCCCCTCCATCCCCTACACAAAAAATAGCCCTCCCGCGACTCGGTGCGGCTCGCGTTTGGCTTGAGGTAGCGCACGTCGCGGAAGTGCGGCACCAGGTGCTCCGTTCGGAAGGCGTCAATGAGGGGGTGCCGGAAGTGTTTTATCCTTCAGAGTTGAGTTCAGCTGGGCATACACGAAACAGAAAGACAAGGAAAGCGAACGCACAACAACACCCCGCCCATCTCGCGCCCCACACTCCGCGCCGCCCGCATATGGCGCTTCGTAAACTCGAAGACGGAGGTGCAGATCGCGAGGCTAGACTCGATGTCGTGCGACGTGTTGCCGGTGGAGTTGCCCGCCATGTCGCAGAGGATGACGTCTGCTTCGCCGGCGCCGCCGTCGCTATCGATGTCCGGGACGAGGGCGTGGAGGAGCCCTTCCGTGCTCGGCGCGAGGAAGTCCGCCTGCACGAACTGCACGCCCGGAATGGGGTCCATGCGGAGGAGGTCGACCGCGACGATCGTGCCCCGTCCGCGTCTTCCTCCTGCCGACTCGAACCCCGAGATATCAAGCGGGTTGGCAGCGTCCCACTCGTCGGTGGCGCTCCCAGGCGTATCTGCCCACCCAAGCCTCTGTGCTACGACTTGGCTCCACCCGCCTGGGGCTGAGCCGAGGTCGAGGACAACGTTAACATCGCGCGGGGTGAGAAAGTGCCACTTGTCGTCCATCTCGAGGAGCTTGAAGGCGGAGCGGGAGCGGTAGGAGGTGCTGCCGGCGACAGAGGCTTCGGAGGAGACGCGGAGCTTGACATAGGGATCGCGGGATTGGCGGTTGAGCCAGACTTTGGAGGAGGAGGATTTTTTTGTCAGGAGGATGGCGGAGGGGCGAAAGGGCTGCAGCATAGCACCAGTCCAAGAAATTCAGGTCCCAGCTCAGAGTATATCCAGCTTAGAAAAATATAGTCTCCAGTCCTTTGAATTGATACGCGGCGCAAAGCAAGAGCACGGGTTTGTTTACGCGTTTGTTTACTCGCCTCTTGCTCTCAACCACCACAACCGCCTCAAGGCCTCAAGACCACCACCACCCCACAACCTCATAACCCATGTCTGGACGCGGCAAAGGCGGAAAGGTCTCCTCACCCCCGCCTTGTATCGTCTCTGTGACTTACCAGTCTCCGTCTCAATCTAGGGACTCGGAAAGGGCGGTGCTAAGCGTCACCGCAAGATTCTCCGTGACAACATCCAGGGTGCGTGCCACCAACTCGCCGTCAGCACCGAGCACTCACGCGCTTTCCAGGTATCACTAAGCCCGCCATCCGCCGTCTCGCGCGCCGCGGTGGTGTGAAGCGTATCTCGGGCCTCATCTACGAAGAGACTCGCGGCGTGCTCAAGATCTTCCTCGAGAACGTCATCCGCGACTCCGTCACCTACACCGAGCACGCGAAGCGGTGCGTCTCGTCTCTCTTTCACCGCAGTCGTGATGCTCATATGCCCTCGCAGCAAAACCGTCACGGCCCTCGATGTCGTCTACGCCCTCAAGCGCTCCGGCCGCACGCTCTACGGCTTCGGTGCCTAGACGCCGCTCCCGTGACGTGAGTCTTGCGCCTCGGCTTATCATCGTGTTACTCAACAGTGCATTGCGGATTCTCGCAGACGATCCTCGTTTTTATTCTCGCCTTGTACTCGGTCCTGTTTATGTTGTATAGTCTGGTGAAACGCGTAGGGTATATGTGTGTATGATATAATGCATGGATACATTCGCGGTGCACCATACGGCGTTCCCGTTGAAGTCGTCCAGTCTGAGTCAGAGATGGGTTCTCCTACAGTCGATGCTCAAATTAAGGAAGAGAAGACCAGTCTGCATTATTCAATGCATGGAGACAAGCAGCGAAAAAAATTGAGAAAGAAATGCATTCCATAAAACCCATATAAGGATTCATCGCATAATAAATAGTATATTGTGTTCAGTCACAGCAATCCGCCCAGAGAAAGCGAAGCAAAAAACCGAAAGCAGTCGAAAGCAGATCTAATTAAAAGTGTAGAGCGCGCGCTTATCATGCTCGCCCCTTAGGCCGCCGCATGAGCCATCTCCCGCCCCGCCGGTATGGTAGGCGCCGCGCGCCTGTGCCCGTGCCCGCGCCCATTGTGGTTGTCGTCATCGTCGTCGTCGTCGCACGGGGTGGTGGTGGCGTGCGCGGAGGAGGTGGTGTGGGTAGAGGAGGTGGCGGTGGGGCGCGAGGATGTGGTCGGCGGCACTGTGCCCGACGGCGGTTAGCCATGCACGAACGAAGCAAACGAATTACCCACCAAGCGTGCAATCGATCCCAACGGACCCGGCAACGAGGGTGCCGCAGCATTCGGCCAATACTAGTGCACCAGAGCTAGACGCAACAAGATAAGTACGGTACATAGGCATGGGAGGCGAATCGAACGCAGACAAGACAAAAGACAAAAACGCACCAAGAATTAGAATTGCCCGATGGCGCCAGAGCGCAGCTCGTGGCGATTTTCTCACCGCAGCTGTTCTGGGGCACGCCGAGACCGCGGAGGATGTTCTCGACGGCGGAGCTGCTGGCGGATTCGAGCGTGGAGCAGCAGAAGTGTGCCTTGGGGCTGCACTGGAATGGTTTCGACGAGGTCGTGGACCGTTTCGCACCTGGGCAAGACAAGAGTGGGTATAAGAACACTTGGAGGAATGAGAAGAGGCTCACCCAGTGGACGCGAGACGCGACGCGGAGGAAGAGGTGGGAGACCACGTGCAAAGCGCTCGGCGTTGGAGTCCCCGCGAGTAGCTTGGACGATGGAGATGGCGTACGAAAGGGCGCAAAAGAGGATAGTAGTCTTCATGTTGTATGTTGGTCGTGGTAAGCTGTCGTTGGTTGTGTACTGTGTCGTATTGAGGAAAAACATCGCTGGCTTTTATAAGATTTTGAGGACGGGTTCAGACCGAGTTAGGAGACGAAAAAATGAGACTTTCGCGGAAACGATCGGTCTGGCGGCAGTTGCTTCCACGGCTTCATCCTCGCAGGTTGCCCAACATCCGTCGCCCAAGCGCTCGACAAGAGGGCGCGGCAGCTAAATAGCTACAGACCGGTCTTTTCTTCAAAGAGAAACATGCAGGCGTTGTGGAGAAAAGACCAAAGTGACCGAAAAGCAAGTGAGACACTCCGAGTCCAAAACGCCGAAGCAGTGCACGGCAAGTTCAGAAATCTTAGACATCCGCGAGACATTGGGATCGAGACGAGGCTGGCTGGGACTAGGCCTCGGGCTCACCGGACAACGACTCAAACCGTAAGTCGAAGTTGGTGGTTGCGCGTCCGTAGGGGTACACAGAGATGTGGGCGAGCATATCATAGAGAGTCCGCGGCTCCGCTCCAAAGCATGGGTGAACTTGGTGCACACCGACTGCTACCGCTGCTGCTGGCGCGCCTACTTATGCTTCATTGCTTTTGCTAACAAGCCCAAGCCTGGCAATGCAGGAGCGCCGAATAAGCAGAGGATGAGGCGGCGTCGAGCCAGCGGGACATGCTACAGATCCGGCGAACAGAGAAATTGGGCCTTCGCATTCAGACAAGCAGTTGCACGGGAACTTCGACGAATCGACTGTCGAGAGCCTTTGTAAGAAGCTGTTTGAGAGCCATCGTGATGCCAAACAACCGCTCTTGTCTGAATTTGGTAATTAATCGGCTCTCCCACTCCGCTCGGGATTGGGTTCACAAGGTGCAAAAGCAAGGTCTTCTTCATGCCACATTTGACGCGCCATATTCCTGAACCAACGGCGGCGAACCACGAGCTTAATTGTAGCAAAAATTGCCATTGCAACATCTCAACTTCATAAGTCCTCACCTTCTGTAAACTCATGTGTGCGCCAGAAAAAAAGATACATAGGTTCACAAAAAAGGTGGGCGTCCGGTGGGACTCGAACCCACGCCTCTCCCCATGCGCCTTACGGCAAAAGAGGGAGCGGCCTACCGCTGACCCACGGAGCCGTAATGGGTATTGAAATTTGAACATATCACCCATGTTTGTGGAGGATAGAAGTACAAGTACAAGCCCCAATCGTGCTCTACAAGGCTAAGGATACTGGTCCACTGGAGCTGGTTCCGAACGGATGGCCCACATCGACGCGCATCTAGATCTAAATTATTATCAACTTTATATCGAGTTTCCTCCGTCCTTATTCAGTTTTCTCCTTCTCCTTCTCCTTCGCTCGCCCAGTAGCGAGGGAATACCCAACTGTTCCCGCCAAAACCAGCCCCGCCCCAGTCCACATCAACCCATAGTCAACCACGCTCCCGCGTCCCCGGGCCATCCAAACGCTGATGATCAGGCCCGCGCCGAAGGTCATTGCAACATCTCAACTTCATGAGTCCTGCCCGAACCTTGTCACCTTACTCATGTGTGCGCCAGAACAAAAAACACATAGGTTCAACAAGAAGGTGGGCGTCCGGTGGGGCTCGAACCCACGCCTCTCCCAAAAGGGAGCGGCCTACCACTGACCCACGGAGCCGTGATGAGCATTGAAATTTGAACATATCATTCATGTCCCTAGAGGATAGAAGTACAAGCCCCACTCATGCTCTATAAGGCTAAGGATACTGGTCCACTGGAGCTGGTTCCGAACGGATTGCCCAATACATCGATGCGCATCTAGATCTAAATTATTATCAACTTTATATCGGGTTCCCTCCGTCCTTATTCAGTTTTCTCCTTCTCCTTCTCCTTCGCTCGCCCAGTAGCAAGGGAATACCCAACCGTTCCCGCCAAAACCAGCCCCGCCCCAGTCCACATCAACCCATAGTCAACCGCGCTCCCACGTCCCCGGGCCATCCAGACGCTGATGATCAGGCTCACGGCCTTGCGCACGACAAGCACGAGCGTCACTGTGAGCGCGCTGACGCGCGTCGTAAGCCGGTGTACGCCGGCGACGCAGACGAGTTGCGTGACGGTGTTGAGCAGCAGGGGCAGGTACGCGTGCGGCATGGTGAGGGCCAGTGCGCCGGTTGGGTGGACCTTGAGGCTAACTGGAAATGTAGAGTTCGCAGGGCCACTTGACACGAGGGAGAAGGGGAGGGCGAAGGGGGGAGGGATCGTCAACGCGGATATTACCGCGCGGGGCAGCGGTGCAGAGAAGGAGGCGCGAGAGCCCGCGTTGACAGACGCCAGCTGGGCCGCAATGTCGTGCCGCACGAAGAAAAACATGGGGAGCGCGAGAAAGTGGAGATAGAACATCGACTCTTGCCATGTCGGCGTCGGCGTCGCCCCTGGCGTCTTCTCGGAACCTGGCGGAGGACGTCCGTATTTAGAGTATGTGTAGTCCTGTACGAGGCCAAGGAACCCAGAGAAGAGAAGAGCAAGGGCCAGAATCGATATGCCTTGCAGGTAGGTGGACAGATTCGCATTCGAATCCGCAGAGGTGGAGTTGCCGCCGGAGGCAGACATGGTCGTCAGAACGACACCAAGAGTAACCGCAAGTACGGAGGACACTTGCGCAAATGTGTACCTGCCTTGTCGTTAGACCTTCAATCAAAAAAAGAGAGAGAGAAAAACCTCTTTCCGCTGATGAGCCAACCGAGGAGCATGCTGATCACCAAGCCACCGCTGCGGAAGATGATGTGGACGGACATGGGTATTCGATACGAGAATGCAGCATTATTCAACAGCGAAATAAAATAGAAAAGCGCGACCTGAACCAGGTACGGCGTCAAGGGTATGCGATGGGGCTTGAATCGCGGTCCATATCTCGTCCAAGCTATATGCGTGGGTATACCATGACTGAGGCTATTTCAGCCATGAAAAAGGTGGTAGAGTTGGAGACATACAGCGAGATGATGAGAAACTGGAAGGCGGTGATGAGGGAGCCAGAGAGCGGGTACTCTGTCGTTAGCTGTTCTAGCGTGATTGCGTTACTGCCGACGTTCTGTCATGGAGATGCAGATGGTAAAGTATATTCTCTCACCTACAGCATCCACCGAATATTAGAGAGATCGTGGTAACCCAACTGCCGACGACGGTCGAAAACATGCGTGACGGTGAAACGACACGTGTATATTTACGGCAGGTGTCATGTGATCTGGGATATCTCGCTTTGGCCGCCCCTATCTTCTATTGCTAGATTTCGAATGAAATCACAGCCCCCGTCAGGCGCCAGGCGCTACTCTTTATCCAACCTCAATTGGTTCGGTTTTTCTTATTGGCGAGCTGCAGATTATTCGAACCGTTACCAACCTGCTATTGTTTGATTCTTTGGACGCGGGCAAGTTATAGTACATAAATTAACAGCGTGGCGTAAAAAATGTCATCAAAGAAAGGCGACTCGTGATGCTCAAAAACTTGAGTAGAGTCCCAACTGCCACTCCTTTGCGGGAGTGCCTCTATGTTCAACTGATGTTCAACTTGGGCGCTTGAGCTCGACCTCATCTTTTTTTTTTTTTTTTTTTTTTGAATCATGTTATTTGCCCTGTACCTACGTAGGGTATGATAGGCATGCTTCTACACTACTTCATCTTCTTTCCTTTACTGCTGAGCGCTGAACACAAGAATCATCAACAAGATCGGGTTAACGCTTGCAGTGGGATGAAGCGACTACCATCATGCACTCTTCCATTCATATTCGCTGCCACGAAGCAGAATTCGTTGACTGCTCTCGAGTCGATTGTCGCTGGCCTCTGTAAAAATCAGAAGACAACCAGATGACCAATATCGTGCGTCGACGATCGTAATTGTATATTATAGTACTTGTTCGATAAGTAGCGGGCACGCCGGCGCGCCCAATGAGTGACAGTGAGTCACCTTCCGAACAATCTCGCCTAAAGCCACCCGGGTCCTTGAGTCCCGACGTCGGAGTTGTACTCAGTCTCGGCGATATCAGCGACAGTCTCGCAAGAAGCCAGTGAAATGTTCAGACGGATACTTCGGCATGCCGAAAAGACCGAACCTAAAAACCAAGGAATTTGAACTTGAGAGACGGGTTGCCAGCAGAGTTCCGTGATTCCCTCGTTTACTATGCGCATCGCAGGAGGTCCGGCGTTCTTTCAAAACATACTGTATCTTGAAGGATTCATTTCGGTGGCGTCGCTTGGACGGAACGACCACGGTGTTGCACACTGGACGTTCAACACCGAGCTACCCGCAACCGGGGAGGACTTGAGTACCATTGATTTGTTAGACCATTCTGGTCAAATGAGGCTGAGGCTGGATGGGGGATTTATTTTGAACCTTGCCAACCTTTGTCCTCTGGAGTTTACTGCAAGTGGAATAATCGAGCCCAAGAAGACTAGACAAACCGCAAGAACAAACCAACGAAGCAAGAAATCAGGATTAAAAGTGGCTGTAGCCTGTGGGGGAATCCCCCGCAGATCCGCGCGGAGTGGTATCGAACCCAAAATAGAGCACAGCTTTCCGGGGACGCGGCGGTGTGAACGCAGCCGAGAGATTCTTAGAGAACTCTCAAACAACGCCGCCCAACGGTGCGCGTCCCTCACGACGAAAGGCGCTCTATCCAGATGGGGAGGTTTTTTCCTAGTTAAAAGGTTCTCGTGCATGTCGTGCGGAAGAGTTCCACGCCCATGGGCGCGCGTGCAGGCCCTGCGCGTGGATGGATGAGTCGGAATAGCGTCGGACGAGCAGAACGAGCCAAGGAATTTTATATACGAACCCATAAATGGTCTGCACCCGGCAGGTCGCGGCTGTGAATAACTGATATCGATTGTATACGAGGGATCGACAATCACGGTTCGCGTGGATATTGCCTGATGTTCAACGTCCTCTTGGATGTGAGATGTCTCCGCGAAAGGCGACCATCACGGTCTAGGCCTGGAGCCTGATCTGGGGACGCCGAGGCGAGGACGGGCAGCTCGCAATCAACTGACACCGCCCTGAAGCCCCAAGTACAAACGGTGCGGGTGAGTGCGGGTGACGCGGAGTTACAAGACTCCGGAGTATCAGTAAGTATGTTTCAAATTGGCAATTGGTTGGCAATTAGATGATGTAGACACGACCAGAACAAGAACCTGAAGTCTGCACTTGAGTCCTAAGTGGGTAGCTTGAAAATAGTTTTGCAAGGTGCATCGAGCAAGATACCCCACGGAATAGGATCTTTGATGCAGACAGATGCAGACGCGGCGGGATGTATTTAGAAACATCTGTCAAGGGAAAGATCGGCGTTCAAGTTGGTGCCGGTATTTGATAAAGCGCTTGGCTTGGGATACTATCCATTGTGGTACAGGGCAAGGCAGGGAGCTCGAGTAGGCGCAATGTTGGTAACCTATATCTTGGACAAAGATCAGAGGACTTAGTAGCCATGAAAACTCTTGTCGGTGGATGCGGCAGTGCCTGGCCGGTTGATGTGGTGATGTTATTGATTTCCCAGGGTGTCACCCAATCGTTTTGTCTTTGGCGCTGATGGTAGTTCCCTACTAGAGCTCACCGGTCTGCCATCGCTATAACCTGGACCCTGGTCGAACTGGTGTCGCAGGGTGTTCTGTCTTTTCCTTTCCCTTTCCCAGCAGTGGCGGCTCTTTTGTCTTCAATGGTGCGTCCTCCGCTCTCTTCGGTCTCTTACGAGGATACTTATCTAAAAATCGGAAACAGAGCGCTAGTCGCAAACTGTCAGGGCCCGGTGCCGTCTCTCTTAAACCTACTCAATACGGCGGGTCACCGGACTCCCTTCGTTCCCGCTCTCAACGACCAGCAATGACCTTTGGGCCGGTCGCAACTTTCTTCTTCACGTTCCTCGTCTTGTCTTGTGCTATCACCCCGTCCTATGCCCAGACCAGCAAAATATTTCAGTGGGACTTCACGGGCAGTGTGCGGGTTTTCACGGTCGTTGGTCATCAGGAGCTGAATACCTTCGCAGCAATTTTCCTCATTACCGTCATGTCGCCAGTTTGGGATCGTGGTCAAACCTTTCAATCCTGCTAACAACACCCATGGCGTCCCCCCGTTCTACATGATGGCTTTCCCAACGGCTGGCAGCCCTGGCACTCCC